ACCTCGGGCAGGTTGAGCTAACTCGAGGCGAAATCCTGATGTTTACGTTGCAGACGTTAATATCGCGTCACAACTTGTCGAAATGCTAAGTTTAGGTGGCCAGCCGATACAGAGCCACACTAAAAACTTCTTGAAGAGATGCTTGTTGATCTGTTTCTACACCATGTTGGTCAGCGACTAGTCTGCCTAGCAGGGCAAAATCCTGCGCTTAAATCCCCCTCTTGTCTCCTCGCTCTCTTCCTTGGGGACGAAAGACCTCTACATGGGTCCAATCATGCGCGTTTATTTGATGGAAACTCCGCCCCAAAAATATTTTGACCCCACCCCTTTTTAATTGGGAGAGGGCCCTCAACTAGTGAGAGTGACAACCTGTTGGGTTGTTGTCATACGGCTTGGCCACCAGAGGGTTTCCCACGCTTTTCCCCGTGGAAAATGGTCAGACTGTTTGGCTCTCAGCCGGTGCGTCCCTTAGCCTAATCCTTGTTCGGGGTACATCGCGGCCTTCCACGACCTTGCAGACGCCGCCGCAGTTACAAAAGGATCAATCGTCTGCGGCGACGTTCCAAGAAGAGCACCCCATTCTGCACTTCTCGGGTCCCTTTCATGCGCCCGTCGTTCCCATGGTCAGTGGGGAAGTACGGCGCCCGTTAATTGCCGTGACGCGGGGCCGCCAAAAATGGCCGTTCGTGACAGTTAGAAACTACTAATGCTTACTTTATTTGTGTGCAATGAATTTTCTACTCCCTCCGGCGGCGTGCTCGTGCCTTGGAATTAATAGAAAGAGAAGGTCCGGCATAAACGAACACACTGTTGCAGAAATGTATTGAAAACTAAAGGCACCCTTAACCGTCATTCAGTTTCGTTTTGCACCATCTGCCCGCAATGTATCTTTATTTTTTCGCCATTGTATTAGGCTGCTCAGTACCGTCAAAGTGATACAGTTGGGAGCCACACACATGTTGTCAAATCTGATTTTTTTTGCACTGCAACTGCCCCATATCTATCTGATTTTGCTTCATATATTACCCACGGTCTCCTGCAAGTTATACACGTGCAGTATTTTGGAGAATGACTGCTGCACAATGTCCGCAAATCTGCGGCAGGCATTACGAACCGACACTGCAATGCCAAGTAGCTAGGCAATTTATTTTTAAACAGGACATACTCAGAGATTGAACAACTGTTTTACGTTTTTGCGCCGCTTTCGCTGCAGGTGAAAAACTGACTGGGGTGTATTATGAGCACATGACAGTTTAAACTCGCAATTTTTAACGATATGCATCGATCTTGTTGGTAATACCGTCGGTAGCCTCTAAATTGGTCAATAAATGAATGGTGACGTACGGCCGTACCTGCAACAGCGTAATAAGCCGACCGGATGAAAATTTGACATGCGCTTAAGGGCCGTGATGAAGATGCTGCGAGATTTACGGGGAAAAACGAGCTTTGATGCCAGTGACGCTGCGGCAAACAAATACGTCTTGTGGGCAGTCTGTCTACGTAATTTGCCCGAGAATGTTCACGAACGGTATCAGTAGTTCGGAAACAACCCAAAAGCATTCTGATTCACAAAACACACCACACAGCTGCTCTCAGTACACCGCCGACGCAGTAGGGGGTGTACTGAGAGCAGCTGTGTGATGTGTTGCTGTTTACTTGGGGTTTCAGTAGTTCGGAAAAAACCCAAAAGCAATCTGATTCACAAAACACACCACACACACAGCTGCTCTCCGTACCGGCGCTATCGGCGAGTCCGCGGCGACCGCAAAAAAAAAACAGAAAAAAATTAACTGAACGTTCAAATGACGTTCGTGGTAGCCGCTGCCAATGAACGCCGTAGCAGACGACATGGGCGTCTCCCCTCTCTCTAGCGCGTTGTCTAGCATACGGTTGTCAAACATGCGCGCGGGAAACCTTGTGGAGGAGACAAACGAGACAACACGCACCACTCTCCACAAAATGTGCACCCACGTTGTGTGGTGGTGACCCGTTTTCGGTAAAATCGTTTTGATAGATCAAGTGTAGGGCAGTACATGGAATCTAAGCTCTTTAAAGTCTCATCTCTGAAAACCATTCTTGAAAAGATTATGATATGTCTAGTTTAACGTCCCAAAACCACCATATTGTCATGTGCGTCGTCGTCACTGGAATCCACAGAAGACGAGGGTGCGGCAGACAAGGTTTATTAGTAAGGAGGCGTACTTGTGCCTCTCGCTTAGGACACAAAAGGAACACTAACAGGATCGGAGCGGCGTGCCCATGCACAGCTGCCGTTCCACCAAAGAACAACCCCCACAGCTTACGCGCTGCCAGTTATTTAAGCGCTGAGAAGACAACATAGAACATGCGCACACCTATCGTCAGATACTGCACTGTCTGATACGATGGGCCCATCGGAAGTTAATCGCCGTCCGCTCAAGCCTATCTAAATGACGCGTCGGCTGTCGCTCTATAGTGGCAGCTGCGCAGAACGGCATGGCACGTGGAATTGCTCCCCCCTTCAAAAACATCGCCTCGATGTTGAAAGCAAGCACTGAAGTCATAAGGCACTGAAGTTTTCACGAAAAAAGATAGAGGAACAAGCGCACATAATGTCTGCTAGCGCGCACAATAGGGTTTCAAACGCACGGCGTGAACAATTTCAGACCGCACACGTCGACGCTGAGAGTCTGTCACACCATTCGGGACGATTTCATAGATCAGTGGCCCTACGCTACCAACAATTTTGTAGGGGCCAAAATAACGCCGCAGAAGCTTTTCGCGGAGGCCTCGTCGGTGAACTGGTGCCCATAGCCAAACGTGTTCGCCGGGTGTCTATTCCTGATTTCGGTGTCGCTTGTTGTAGTGTCGGGCATCCGTTGCTTGCTTGGTTGCCGTTCGCAGTCGAGCCAGCTGCCTGGCCTCTTCAGCGCGTTGTTGAAATATCGCTACGTCTGGGTTCGGGTCGCCTTCGTTTACATGCCGCAACATTGCGTCCAGAGTGGTTGTCGCTTCCCTTCCGTAAACAAGAGCGAATGGTGTCAGCCCGGTTGTCTCCTGGGCGGCCGTATTATATGCGAAGGTGACATATGGGAGGACTTCATCCCATGTTTTATGTTCAATATCGACGTATATCGACATCATGTCCGCCAGGGTCTTGTTGAGCCGTTCTGTGAGACCGTTAGTTTGCGGGTGGTATGCGGTAGTACAGCGATGGGTGATGTGGCTGTACCGCAAAATGGCTTGCATCAGTTCGTGACAGAAGGCTGTCCCTCTGTGAGTGATAACGACCTGAGGTGCACCGTGGCGCAGGACAATTTGGTGAACGAAGAATCTGGCGGCTTCTTCAGCAGTGGCTCGAGCAAGGGCACGGGTTTCTGCGTAGCGAGTCAGGTAATCTGTCGCCGCAACGATCCACTTATTTCCTGCGGTAGACGTCGGGAAGGGTCCCAGAAAGTCCATTCCAATTTTTGGGAGAGCCTTGTTGAGGGTTGAAGTGGCTGGAGTAGTCCAGCGGGTTTTGCTGGCGGTCTCTTGCGGCGTTGACACTCTCGGCACGTCCGTACGTAATGCTGAACGTCTTCTAGAATGCGCGGCCAGTAGTAACGCTCACGGATCCGCGAAAACGTTCGTGTACACCCAAGTTGCCCGGAGGTTAGTTCGTCATGTGACGCCTGCAAGATTTCCTGACGCAATGACGACGGCACGACGAGAAGGTAGGTGCTCTTCCTAGAGTTGAAGTTCTTTTTCACAAGGACACCGTCTTTTAAGCAGAATGTGTGAAGAGCACGCCTGAAAGTTTTGGGTATCTCCGTACGTTTTCCTTCAAGATGTTCAATGAGATAGTTCAGTTCAGGGTCGGCCCGTTGTTGGGCGGCTAAGTCGGAAGCGGTGATCATGCCCAGAAAACTGGCGTCGTCGTCATCTGCACACGGTGGTGGTTGCTCAACCGGGGCTCGAGACAGACCATCTGCGTCGGAATGCTTTCTTCCGTTCTTGTGCAGTACCGAAATATCGAACTCCTGGAGCCGCAAGCTCCACCTTACGAGACGTCCGGATGGATCCTTTAGGTTCGCAAGCCAGCATAAAGCATGGTGGTCGGTAAAGACGGTAAAAGGCGTGCCGAACAAGTATGGGCGAAATTAGGAAGTTGCCCACACAACTGCCAAGCATTCCTTTTCGATCGTGGAATAATTGTACTCTGCCTTAGGCAAAGATCGACTGGCGTAGGCAATGACGTGTTCTCATCTGTCCCGCCTTTGAACAAGAACGGCACCGAGGCCGACACTGCTGGCGTCGGTGTGGATTTCTGTTGCCGTGTTCTCGTCAAAGTGGGCCAAAATAGGGGGTGCTTGAAGACGTTTTTTGAGCTCCCGAAACGCTTCTTCTTGGGGTGCTTCCCACACAAACAAGCTGTCTTCTTTCGTTAGACGTGTCAGGGGCTCGGAGACCTGCGAGAAGTCCTTGACAAAGCGCCTATAGTACGTGCAAAGTCCGAGGAAGCTTCGGAGGCTCTTCTTTTCGCGGGGCTGCGGGAAGTCTCGAACTGCAGCTGTCTTCTCTGGGTCTGGTAGAACGCCGGCAGAACTGACGTGACCAAGGAACTTCAGCTGCTCGTAGGCAAAACGGCATTTTTCGGTCTTTAACGTAAGTACTGAAGCCTTAAGTGCATCAAGTACCACTTTCAACCTGTTGATGTGTTCCTCGGAAGATGGATCGAAGACTATGACGTCGTCCAAATACACCAAACAAGTTTGCCATTTCAGGCCAGCCAATACGGTGTCCATTACCCTTTGGAAAGTTGCAGGAGCAGTGAAAAGTCCAAATGGCATGACTTTAAACTTGTATAGTCCATATGGTGTAATAAACGCCGTCTTTTTGCGATCCCTTTCATCAACTTCCACCTGCCAGTAGCCAGTCCTTAGATCCATAGATGAAAAGTATCTGGCATTGCAGAGACGATCGAGGGCGTCATCAATTCGAGGGAGCGGATAAACGTCCTTTCTCGTTACCTTATTGAGTCAGCGATAGTCGACACAGAGTCTTGGAGTGCCGTCCCGTTTTTTCACAATCACTACAGGGGAAGCCCACGGGCTTTGGGAGGGCTCAATGATATTGTCATGAAGCATTTCTTGTACCTGTTTCCGGATTGCCTCGCGCTCTTTCATGGATACACGGTGCGGCAATTGGTGACTTGGTTGCACATTTTCATAAGTTATGATACGATGTTTCACAAGCGTTGTCTGGCGGATCTTGGGTGACGTGGCCAAACAATCCTGGTAGCTATAGAGCAGTTTCCGCAGCCTTTCGTGTCTTTCCAGGGGCAACGCCGGATTCACGTTAAAGAACACGTCATGTGTACGAGGATGAAGTGCATCGTCGATCGTGAGTACATCGCTTATGTCCGGAATGGTCTCGAATAGTGCCACAGTGGTGCCCTTTGCAAGGGGACGATATTCCGAGCAGAAATTAGTGATTGGTACACTGACGGTTCCTTCAACGATGTCAACAATTCCTCTGGCGATAGCCAAACCTTTTTCAAAGAGCAAACTCTGGTTGGCCTCGATCAAACCTTCCGCGCAGATGCAGCTGTCAGCGCCCATGGGGATGACAGCACTCGAGCGTGGTGGCAATGTGACGTGCTCGTCGAGAATCATTAGCGCCGCTTATAATGCAGGACTTTGATTTCACGTGATGCCCGTATTTGGTGACAGGGCGATTATTTGGACTCGAAGATCTATGATTGCTTTGTTTGCCGAAAGGAAGTCCGCACCGAGAATGACGTTCCGAGAGCACTGGTTCAGGATGACTAAAACAGTAGGGTACGTATGCCCTTCCACATCCACACGAGCTGTGCATCTTCCCTTTGGTGTTGTGACGTGACCGCTGTTCGTACCTGCGGGCTTTCCCACGAAGTCAGCACCTTCTTCAACTGATCGGCGAACACCGCACTCATGACGGAGAAGTCAGCACCGGTATCAACCAACGCAATTAGGTCCCGGTTGTCGATTTTCACTGCCAGATTGGTCGATTTTACCTTGGCGTTGCAGGTCTGTCGTGGTGTACTGTTGCGCCTTGGACGGAACTTCGAGCTGATATGTCGCTCGTGTCTCTCACACGCTGCAGGGAGTGTTGCTCCACTGGGAATTTCGGGCGGGGTAGGGTCTTCAGGGGTGCGCCGGGCAGCAACCACACCTGCATTGGTTGCCGTCTTTAGTTTCCCAAATGAGGGCTAGAGACCTTCCCCGTGATGCTCCTGTGTTGGCAGGGTGTGCCGATGGGTAACGGCGAGACGAACGCAATGGTGACCTGCAGCGGCCCGCTGGCAAACTTTGTCGCTGCAAATAGTCTTCAATCTCAGCTGGCCTTTGACCAGGTTGCGGACGTGAAGCGCCGACGTGAAATACACGTATTCCGAGGTTCCTATAGAAACAGTTATGGTACAAGTGGCCAGGTTCACTGCAATGGAAACACAGCGGGCGATGGTCGTCAGTCCTCCACACGTTGGACTTTCTAGGGACGGCTCTTTCGGCAGGAGGTCGGTAGACATTTGGTTGTGGTCGTGGCGGTGGAGAGTACGTCGGTTGGGTGGGGCGCACCAGGTTGCGCGCGGCCGCGGCGTACGACATGATTTGCGGTCCTCGTGGAGCCCACTCAGGCTCCTGGCTTGGTGGAACTAATGGTCTGGTCCCCAGCGTCTGCTGAACTTCTTGTCTGACGACATCGCTCAACGTCGCGACTTGAGGAGAAGAACTCGGGAACGTCTTCCGAAGTTCCTCTTGCACAACAGCCTTTATGGTGTCCCGAAGGTTGCTGACGGTTACAGCATTAAGCTCGGCCGGTGACGTACCGCCAACCAGAGCAGGGCGTCCATACTGTCTCCGCCGCACATCGAGAATCTTTTCCATGGTGGCTGCTTCCGTTACGAATTGGAAGACAGTTTGCGGTGGATTGCGCATTAATCCAGCAAAAAGTTCTTCATTCACACCTTTGATAAGGAAACCATGTTTTTTTCTTCTGGCATTTCCGGATCTGCTAGACCAAATAGATGCTTCATTTCTTCGACGAAGAAAGCGACGCTCTCGTTAGGGAGCTTGAAGCGTGAATGCAGCTCCCTCTCCGCCCGTTCCTTGCGAGCGATGCTTGAAAACGTCCGAAAAAGGCTGCCTTTGCAATCCTCCCACGTCCTAAGCACGGATTCGTGGTTGATAAACCAGGTACGCGCAGAGTCTTCCAGTGTAAAGTAGACCCACTGCAACTTCGCTTCGTCATTCCACTTGTTGATGGCCGCGACGCGCTAGAACTGTTCCAGCCAGTCCTCGGGGTCGTCGCACGGCGTTCCGCGGAATTTAGGGGGTTCACGGGGTTGCTGCAATATGACGGCTGTTGGCATCTGGACTTCACTCATCTTGACAGGCCTGGCTTGTTTCATGGTGGGTGGTTTTTCTGGAAGGAGGCCGTGCTCCGGGGGAAGTCCTAGCCGGCGGCGGCTTCTTCTCTGGTCGTCTTCCTTTGCTTGGTGAGGACTGGTGTCACGGCTGCACGAGGGGTTACTGAACATACCCAGCACCTCCACCAGATGTCACGTGCGTCGTCGTCACTGGAATCCACAGAAGACGAAGGTGCGGAAGACAAGGTTTATTAGTAAGGAGGCGTACTTGTGCCTCTCGCTTAGGACACAAAAGGAACCCTAACAGGATCGGAGTGGCGTGCCCATGCACAGCAGCCGTTCCACCAAAGAACAACCAACAGTTTACGCGCTGCCAGTTATTTAAGCCATGAGAAGACAACACAGAACATGCGCACACCTATCATCAGATACTGCACTGTCTGATACAATGGGCCCATCGGAAGTTAATCGCAGTCCGCTCAAGCCTATCTAAATGACGCGTCGGCTGTCGCTCTATAGTGGCAGCTGCGCAGAACGGCATGGCACGTGGCATTATAATTAAGAGAGACGCCGTAGTGGAGGGCTCCAAAAATTTTGACCACCTGGGGTTCTTTTTACTCCAAGATAAGAAGTTTGAATAAATGCGCCCGCGCTGCGGGAGACAGAATATCATTTTAATAAACCTTGTACTTATAAGTGACATGCCATAGAGCACTCGTTAAACATGATTGTAGTACCATAATTTGTCTTGCTAAGATAAACGTAAACCCAATTGTTTGTCTAGCTAGGCACAAAGAATTAAAAGTGGATTTTACCTGTTCCTAGAAGCGTTTAGGATGAACATTGTTCTACAGGCTATTTTACCTATTAACCACCTTAAACCACGAAGACATTGACCCTTTGTCTTTCCTTCTGTCATTGAGAACTTCCTATGAATCTATTTAAATATTGCAAGCAACGTCGCTACGATTGGCTGTCTTGACAATTTTTTAAATACTTCTTATTACTGTGATGTCTGTGTGTCTTAGTGTATAGTTTTGATCCTGATGATTTCTGACACTTCATTTATATTATGTGTATTTAATTTCTTACGATTGATTCCCAACTATAGCGCTGTCGATATATGTAATTTTAAGTAATAAAAATTGCCACATTAGACGCTTCGCCCAGCTAATTCACTTTCCCGAAGTGTAGATCTCGCGGAATTTTGGTCGCTCCACTTATTGACTTGTGCTTTTCATGTTCATGCCAAGTTATTATATATATGTATTCCCTTTCTTTCTATTTGTGGAGCTTTATTTCATAACTCTTGTACTCGTACTTTGTGTCATTGTATACTTGTAGTGCTTATTTTTTTCTGCATGTATGAATGTCTGTCGTGTATTGCTGCTTTGCCAACTTGTGATTAGGTCGGTATTTGTCAATCCCTCGAGCTTTTAGTCCCGTGCTCCTCGACCTATTGAAAGAAAAAAAAATGAAATCTCTGACCAAAACAACTATAGCTAATTTAGGAGAATTAAACTAGCGAATTTTGCACAAGATGCCGGACGTATAACACAGTGGCCTAATGTGAACCGGGGAGTTGCATGTGATGGCTTATAACAACGTGGCGCATGTGTGAAGAAGAAGATGTGCCTGCAGCGAGGAGCATCGCCAACGCCCGGCTCTCTCGTCTCGTGCTTCGGCTCGCTGCTGTGCCGGTCTCTGCTGGACGGTTCATCACGCCGTCTTGCCGTTGTCTTTAACTACTAATAAACCTTTTCACATTTGGTGGAGCGTGCTGTTTATTCAATTTCAATTTCAATTTTCAATTTCAATTTTTTTATTTTTCTGTACGTGCAACAGAAAAAAACGAAGCAAAAGCAAAAGGCTACATAGCCTGACGAAGGCTTTTGCTCCAAAATACAATCTGGCAAAATAAAATAAAATAAAAACTAAAAATAACATGTCATACACAACTTAGCCGCAATTAGAGAACATCATTATATACAGATACAATTTGCAAATTCTGATCACACATGTAACCATCACAAATATAAAGAAAGAACAGGACAGTAAATAGTAATGAAATACCTAAAAAACATCGTAATATATACAATAGGTGAGGTAAGGAAAGCATCTGGAGACACATACATTCCTAAGCACCTTGAACAAACAATAAGCAAAAAAAAAACAACAACCACAACAAAAGGACACAAATAGTGTACTCTAAGCAATTGGGACACAGAAAGTAATAAATAATCCTAATTTCTGTATTAAGTGTATTCAATACAATTATAAAGGAGAAATTCCTTGAACTTATTTTTGGAAGTTTCTTATTTAGGTCAAGTACGTCACCCAGTTTGTTGAGGAGACTCGGTATTTGATAATCAATATGTTGTTGACCATAGGTTGTTCTAGTTTTCGGTGTTCTTATACTATGTGTACGGAGATAGTACTCAGCACATCGAGAAGAATCGTACATGGGGTATAGTTTATTATTTTGGATATACAATATTAACTTATAATAATATATTTGGTTTGCTTGTAATATGACATATTTAGGGAATAACGGACGTGCGCTAAGACCTTGTGGCATACCGTAATATCCCTCGAATAGTCTTAGTACCTTCTTTTGTAGTGTAAGTAATGTTTTATAGTTTTGAGCCGTCGTTGTTCCCCAACATAAGACACAATAACTTAGCCTGGAATATATCAGTGTATAATATAACACTTTCTTTAGCCAAAGTGGTAATAACGGACATAGTTTGTACATACATCCAACGCTTCTACTTAGATCTGCTGCCAATTTATTTATATGTTCATTCCAAGAAAGGTCTTCCTGGAACCACACACCCAAGAATTTCTGTACCTTGACTTGTTCTAAAGTCTGACCCTCAAAGCTCCCCGTCGCTCAACCCTGGAGCTGCGAAGCCGCACGCTACAGCCCGTCATGACTAACAACGCCAACCCATCGGCGTCGTCGCCCCAGTTCAACTGTCTCGGTCATCGTAGGCTACGGGACCCGAAGGTCTTCAGCGGTGCGGATGGGACCGACGTGGAAGACTGGCTCGACCATTACGAGCTGGTGAGCGCCAATAACAAGTTCGATGAAGCCGACAAGCTGGGACACGTCATATTTTATCTCACTGGCATTGCAGAATTGTGGTTTAACAACCACAAACACAACATTCCCACATAGAGCGTTTTCAAGACGTCATGTGCCGAAGTGTTCGGTCGGCCGGCTGTCCGCAAGCAGCGAGCAGAACAGCGCTTGCGCGTCTGCTC